AACAGAATCAAAGCTGCCTGAGCAATTTTTTCCAGGGACTGGAGACGAGGGTGGTCAGAGCCATGACTGAGCCTTCCCTTGCCTTGAGAGAGCTCAAAGGGACCAGAGATCTCAGCAGCCCCCAGGAAGACACCTACCTTTACCTTCCATTTGTCCTAAAACTTCCAGCTTCTTCAGGTCAGGTGGACCTTGCTGGCCATGGAGCCTAGGGTGGAGTGGAGGTCTTGGGTGTCCCCTTTGTACCCTAAGGTGGGGCTGAGCAATATTCGATGAAGCAGGGCATCTTGCCAGCAGTGGGGACTGTCTCTCCAGCGAGATTTCAGGCCTTGGCAATGGCAGTGAAAGGGCAGCCCAAGAGACATCATCCACAGCAGCAAGACTCAGTGCCTCCGGCAGCTCCAGGGTCAGGCAGATCTCCACCATGGCCAGGTCAGAGCCCAGATTATCCCGCAGTGGCTGTGCCCCCTGTAACAAGAAAGTGTGGGAAATCTCCTCTGCACGCTGGCAGTCAGTGCAGAGAAACTTGGCATAAAAACATTGTTAATAATAATAATAGAGACTCCTTTGCCTTTCACCTACCCTTTCCATCTTGGGTTCTAAAGGACTGTAGCCACACTAATGCAATGAGACTCCATCCCCCTCCAGGCAGGGTGGGATGCTGAGGCCAAGAAAGATTAAATTCCCTTTCCATGGTCATTCATCACTCATCACCTCCCCTCCACATGCTGCACCATGTGTAACATGCTCTAAACACAAACCCTTCTCCTTTGATATGCCTTATTTCTTGCCGAGACACCCAGAGTTCACACCATGCCCCCTGTGCCAAAAATGTAAGATTAAAGGGAGGGGAGTAATTGAGAGAATTTAACCTGCGTTGAGTGCACAGGATATCCCACGCCAGCCATGCGCCAAGCACAAGCTGCAGAAACCCAGCAGCCTCCCTGTGCTCCTGTCACTGGCTGGAGGGGCCATGTAGGAGGAGAGGGGAAGGAGGGAAATATTGGTCCTCACCTCTGGTGTGTCCTAGGGCTGGCTTCCTGCAGCTCCTCCCTGACTAAGGGGACCTCCGTGGTGCCGACATTTGAGTCAGGGTTCTGTATGTTGACCGTGTCCCCTGGGGTATGGGAGAAGATGGAGCTTAGTCAGTGGGGAAACATGTTTGAGGAGGGAGAGCCCAAAATACAGACAAGAGCTTGCAGGGGGACCCTTGGCTGCAGCTTTACATGTCTTGCCAGAAGGGCAGTTTACTAAGAACTCTCCTATCGACAAAGGCACTGCCCACCCTCACCTGTGCTGCTTTACCTGCCTGCGGCACGTCCCTCCTGCACACCACCTGCCTGGGTGGATATGTCTTGGCCATCAGCACCACACACTGTGGGGGAGTCCCCCTGCAATGTTAGCATCATCCTCCACCACTGTCCCCTCCCTCTCCTGCAGTTTTTCTGCCTTGAGGATGAGATGGGAACATGAGGAGTCCTGAAACACGGGCAAATGTGGGCTCTCTCCATCCAAGGAGGCACCCCTCACTCACTTGGAGGTCCTTTGGATGGGGAGGTCCTGCTGGATGAGGACACTGTCCTGGGGGGTGATGGGGCACGGGAGCAGGCAGATGTGTCCTGACTCTCTGGTGGCTGCTGCTAAACCTCGGTGGCTGTGGGGCCATGGGGTCTCAGCGACTTGCAGGGCTCCATCCCCTCCTTGTCCCAGCCCTGCTGAGAATCAGGGGCACCCATGGGGCCCTGCTGTCACCCAGGGTCCCACACCCAGCGGGGATGCAGCGGAGGGCACGGCTGGGAAGGATGTGACCCTGGGCTCTGTGTCCGTGGCAGGGCAGGAGGTGACTTAGGTGCCAGTGGCCACCTAGAAAGGTGGTGCTGCAGAGCACGGCCCCCCTCCAGCACCGCACACACCCCCACCCTGCTCCAGGGACCCTGCAGCTAATTCACCCTCTGGGCGACTGCCCCGGCGGCCTCAGTGCACCCAGGCAGCACAGGGCGAGTCACCATGCTCGCTGACTGGTGTCACCACTCTGTCCCTGATCTGCCTGATGTCACGGCCCGGATCGGCCTGAGGTCACGGAGCGCCTGGTGGCACTGGTGTCATTCCTGGGCTCAGCTTCTCACCACCAGCATGTGTTGAGCTGGGACAGGGTCCAAAGGGGTCTCTAAGGCAGAGGGTGTCACAGGGATGGGGACAACATCCAAGGGCCTCAGTACAATTGTGCCTCCCTCTCTCTGGCAGCTGCTCACTGGGCCCTGTGCCATGCCCGTAGCCCCGAGCAGGATCAGCCCTGTGCAGGCTGGATACAACCCATGGGCAGGACCATCGCTGTCCGGGCTCAGCGGGGAGAGAGGGGCAGGTTCCCAGGCCGGGCAACCTGGGAGGTGGCTGCCCTGAACCCTGGGCTGGCACCACACCCCTGCGGCACCACGAGCTCTGCAGCATTCTGAGTGGGTGCCCACACCCAGTGCTGCTTCAGGGCATGCAGAGAGGGCTCAGCTGAAAACCCCATGACCCTGACCTCCCTCCCCAGCCAGCCTGGGGGTCTGTCTCACCCTCCTCCGTGTTTCAGCCAGGCGCTGCCTTGGGCATCTCTTTGCCTTCCCCTCATACAATCATCAAATCGTTCAGGTTGGAAAAGACCATTAAGGTCATCAAGTCCAACTGTTAACCCAACACTGCCAAGACCACCACAAAGCCATGTCCCTAGGTGCTACATCCACACTTCTCAAATCCCTCCAGGGATGGTGACTCCCCCACCTCCCAGTGCCTGACTGCCCTTTCCGGGAAGACATATTTCCTAATATCCAATCTAAACCTTCCCTAGGGCAACTTGAGACTGTTTCTTCTTGTCTTATCACTTGTCACCTGGAAGAAGAGACCATTCCTTGGCCAACCCTGCAGCTAAAATGCTCCTCCTGGGGCCAAACCCAGCTGAGCCCAACCCAACACCTCCTGGGTGCTGTCGACACCCACTCTCAGCCCCGGCCGGTGCAGCTGGGGACACCAAGTGCTGTCCCAGTGCGGGATCATGCTACACAGGCTGGGGGGCATGTCAGAGATCCATGAAAACAGTTTTTCCAACACCTTCTGTGGTCCCAAAATGCTGCTTTGCAGGGTGGCTGCTGGGTGTCCCTGCAGCTGGTGTGATGCCGAGTGGATGCACAGCTGGGTGCTGGGGGCACAGGCAGGACCCTGCCCGCAGGTTCAGCACCTTCACCCTCAGCTCGGGCCCAGCTGCCCCCGGGATGGTCCTGCAGCAGAGCCAGCCCAGCTCCTCTCCCCTGGGGTTTTTTCCAGCAGACTGGAGGGCTCATGGGACCCGTGGGGCAAGACGGGGGGGCTGCTGGGGTTCACCCCACTTGCAACAAAGCGAGG